TGGCCAGACCTACATTAAAGAGCGATACATTAATTCAAGCCAGTCCTACATCACAGCCAGATCTACATCACAGCCAGACCTACGTCACAGCCAGACCTACATTAAAGCCAGACCTACATTAAAGCAAGACCTACATTAAAGCCAGACCTACATCAAATTCAGACCTACATTAAAGCCAGACCTACATTACAGCCATACCTACATTAAAGCAAAACCTACATAAAAGCCAGACCTACATTACGGCCAGACCTATATTACAGCCAGACCTATATCACAGCCAGACCTACATCACAGCCAGACCTACATTACGACCAGACCTACATTATGGTTAGACCTACAGTAAAGCCAGACCTACATTATGACCAGATCTACATTATGGTTAGACCTACATTACAGCCAGACCTACATTATGGCCAGACCTACAGCAAAGCCAGACCTACATTAAAGCCAGACCTACATCACACCCAGACCTAGATCACGGCCAGACCTAGATCACGGCCAGACCTACATCACAGCCAGACCTACATCACGGCCAGACCTACATCACAGCCAGACCTATATCACAGCCAGACCTACATCACAGCCAGACCTACATCACAGCCAGACCTACATCACAGCCAGACCTACATCACATCCAGACCTACATCACAGCCAGACCTACATCCCAGCCAGACCTACATCACAGCCAGACCTACATCACAGCCAGACCCACATCCCCGCCAGACCCACATCACAGCCACCTACATCACAGCCAGACCTACATCACAGCCAGACCTACATCACAGCCAGACCTACATCACAGCCAGACCTACATCACAGCCAGACCTACATCACAGCCAGACCTACATCACAGCCAGACCTACATCCCAGCCAGACCTACATCACAGCCAGACCTACATCACAGCCAGACCTACATCACAGCCAGACCTACATCACAGCCAGACCTACATTATGGCCAGACCTACATCACAGCCACACACTCCTTCCATCCCAGATCAAACGGTCACCAAACCATGTGAGCAGTAAGAACACAAACCATGGCAAAATGACTTACTCGGTCAGCTTCACTTACCTACTGGCTTACAGCCACACATTCAAGAATTAGAGGAATTCGGTCATCATATTTTATATCATGTGCTTTTTAGGACACATTTTGAATACATTATTATTCTAAATTTGAGTTCTTAAAAGTCCTCAGATAAATCTCAATGCAATTTATTACCGTACATCAATGATCATACATCTATGATCGCCATGAAATTTCATGATAAAAATAAAAAACTGTCTTCATGTTACAATTCTTTAACCTAATTCCACAGATCTCATACCAGAGCGGATTGTCCTAAAAACAACAGCATGTTTACACACTGAGAAATTGGGGTTTAAACTTTCAGACTAAATGTACCTTGAATGTAGAAAAAGTTACAAGGACTGGCTGGCAAGACACTCAACTATGTAAAACAACTATGTCTCCATTCAGCCTGACGCAGAGTAATCAGATCACTCACCTGCACATAATACGGGGTGGCCTCAAACAGATTAAAAAGGTCAAGAATAAGCTCCTCGTTGCTCATCAGATTAGAGGCAAATGTTAGAACCTCTGAACTGGACAAACCCTGTTGAAATAGGTTAGGAAAGTACAAACTGTTTCCCAATTTGCCTCCCTTGCACATTTATTTTTATGAGAAATAATAATTAACAGAAAGATATAATATAGAAATAAGATAAAGTGCCATCCATAAATGATGTCATGCTGTTTTGACCACTTTTTGAACACCCTTACTCCTCTCCCCCCCCCCACCATCACAAATTGTCCCACAAAGTTTGACAAACTAGTCTCAAAATCTTAAGTGTGGTATGGTAAAGAACATTTTCATAGGCAGCATTAAGACTAGACAGAAGGTCCTGAAACTTGAAACTGTCTGCTGCTCAGTGAATAAGCTCTAATGAGGGTAACACAAGATGGAACCATTTTCATGACAGGGTCCACCTTCAGTTATATAAAATGGAGCACTTTTTGGTGGACGAGGGAGTGGATGGCTAATGGATGCAATGACTTGTGTTTGTCCACCATGCTAGGAGCCCCATCAGTCATCACACTGACAAGCACCTAATCATTCAGTTTGGCTAAACTTTTCAAAGATGTCATCTCCTGTCATTGTCACTCTGTGATGCTTTTCAATGCAGCAAGCTCTTCTATGACTCTGAAATGACCATTAATGACCACTAATGAAAAGAAAAGAGCCCCATCTGCAGATTTGGGCTGCAGAGTACAGAGGTTTTGCCTACTTGTGAATATAAAACTACCCCTAGTATTTCTGACTTCAGCAACAGTATGTGCATTTTCATGGGTACCCTTCCACGACTTTACTACCAACTTCACCATGCTATCTGTACAAGCTGCCAGGGCAGGCTGCGTTAAGGACCCCTGGCGGGCCAGAGGGCCATAGCATGAGGACCACTGATTTAATCAATTTCATCTCAAGCTTATTCAAACTTATTTATACTACATCGCTAAACAGAGTTATAAATAACGTAAGCTTAGGAACAATCAATCACCTTGTACTCTGAGAGCCAGTCTTTTACTTCTCTGGTCAACATTGTAGCAACTGTCAGTGCAGTAGATCAGGAGGTCAAAAGTCTCATAATTGTTTGTTGTAACTGAAAATATTTTCAAAATTTTTATATTAGGAAAGCAAGGCATTCATAAAACACTAAAATAAGTTAATGCCTAAGTTATATAACCTTATCCATCTTGACTACAACAAAAAATGTCATTAAAAAATTCTATGGCGCGCCTTTTATCATTAAATCTGTTAAACCCCTTTAATGATTTTTAGCAGCACAATAGTTGTTTCATTAATGGTATTGTATTGCACGCTTACTTTCCATATTTTTTTTTTTTGGGCATAATTTTGAAACCACTGCTATATTTATTAAATGAAGGTGTCCTGTAAAATGGCCTTGGACGAAATTGCTGCGATACATCTACCCACAACAAAATAGGCCCTTTCGAAACAGCCCCGACAATATGGCTTCCAACAAAAGGGCCCCATCAATCCTTTGGCTATGACAAAAGGGCTATATAAGATATCTGTATCATCCAGGGCCTCATACCACTGAGGGATGGGAGGGATGGGTGAATCTAGGGAAGGTGCTGCATATTTCCTGTAATGTTTATGGAAGTTGTTTTCTCAAATTTGTCCAGTTATTTGGTTTTAACCATAGACGGATTGATGGAATTTCTAGGTGTTAATATGAACATGAGGCCAGGTCCTGCAAATATTCAACCTGCAATCTATGACCACCCCCCACCCCCCCAAAAACTCCCTTCCTAAGAAAAAATGTATGTAATATGCTTGAATTTAAAGTAACAGTTATTTTCAAGACTAAATAAATTGACCATTACTTTGCTGTTCAAAGATTTTAGACTGATAGCGTCGGCTATACAAATATTATGTTTTTTGGTGTGAAGTGCTATTTTAAAGGTTATCCTTTAATTGATAAGATAAGATTCTTTTATATATTCAGTTAAATGGACATGTTTTTTATTACATTGTACATATTCATTTCCACAAATATATAAATATTCTTACCACATTGCTTAAACTAGAGCAATGAAACAAATATTATGTATAAAAAGAATATAATATTTAAAGAAACAAAGTTTGCATTAATCATAGTTCCACCACCACCACAAAATAGGATAAGAAGTGACATGAGCCTGGCTGGTGCCATACTGTCTTTTTAGTTTGCGATTCATGCTCATCCACATAATTTCTACACCAGTGTCAGTGACTTTAGAGGAATGAAGTTTTGTTGATAGACCACAACAGAGTTTTTTTTAAAGTCTATGTCTGATTTATGTTTGCATGAGCCACCAATCCACCTGAGAAAATATGTAAACCTGGTAGTATATTATATATTATCTCCCTAAGCATGCCTGGCAAGTGATTGCATGTCAGGCTGGTACTTCAACAAGAAACAGTGCCCACCCTCTCTTTCAATGCCAGCAACAAGCCATTTCACTGTCCACAGTGGTATTTACAGTTAAGTAGCTCTTCAGTCTTCAGACCCCAAAAACACAATTTTTGAATAGCCGACACTAATGAGGTTGATTACTGCAAAAAAAAATCATTAAATCAAGTGAGGAATAATTGAGTATCAATAATAATAATCTTTCTTACTCTACCCAAATCACATGTTATTTCCATACTTGTGTCTTGACTATACTAGAAGTTACTATATGATATGTCACAAAGGAAAAACTTTCAAAATTGACTCTCCCCCCCCCCCCCTTCAGTACGTCTATGGTGATATTATTGATACCTAGATTAAAGATACTAGCTAGATAATCAGCATATCAGCATGAAGGCACCAGATTCAAATCTTATAATTTATGACTAACTTATGACTTATGACTATAGTCTATAGGCTTAGCTAAATTAGAAGGACTGGCAACTCCAGGCTTCTGGGGCTCCTAACCCCAGCTATAATTTTAATTTTAACATTTATTTCATTATTTTTAAAACTTGGAACCATACTATCCTGAACCGAATTGTCTGTTAAAAAAATAATCAAGAAAAAATTCCTGGATACCAAAAGGTTGTACTCTTGAAAAAGAAATAGGACCGCTTTTTGTTATTTTATCCGTTATTATGTGTTGCCCATAATAGTGATAGGCTTAGGCTTAGGGCTGCCTCTTAACAACAGCACATAATAAGTTAGTTTATACCTATTTATTTGTTATTATTTGAGTGGAAACTTTTGTCCCAAATCAAGGTGATACCGGAAAGCAACCTTCTTTTTACGACATATTCATAGACACAGATGTTCACTAGATACAGATGTTCAAAGAATAGCTGGTGAATAATATATTGCTTCTTATTTTTTGTATGACATTCAGTTAAATATAATCACGTTTGATAAATCTAAGAGTACAACTGAGTGTATAAATTTGTTTAAACTTAAACATTATTTTTTAAACATAAAATTACGACATTGTTATTCCCCCTTAAAACAACATGGCGGCGCCCTTCAATGTACACAAAAGTATTGCAAAAAAACATTGGATGATTTGTTGAAATAAATGTAACAAAGACTACTATTTGATGATTAGCTGGTTTGTAACAGTCACTGTACGATATCGTATATATTCTACTATGTGTGACTGTTAGTTAAGTCACTTACTTATATCGACTATGACTAATATACTTATAATTTATATGATTTAATTTTACCTACACCCCCCCCCACTCCAAAACCAATTATAATTAGGCCTATAATTTATGTTATTGATAATGTTGTTGTTTTTTTTTTACTTTTAAGCTTTATTTTTTAAAATAGAAGTTAAGTATAGGCATGGAGCTCAGCCCCAGTGGCTTTTCCTAAAAAAATAAATCTCAATTTACTTGGTAGGTTCTGGCTTTTTTTAAAATGATGCCCCAATTTTTTACCGTGTAATTAATTCTTATTTAAATACATTTTATTTTATGCTGATCTGACTTCGAGTTTGAACCACGTCAAATTTCACCAGTAACTTTATTTTTAGCAATGACTGTGATAATGTGACCTGCACTTTCCCCTGAATAATATCTTATAACAATGGCTGATACACATCTGCAAAACAACATTCCGTCCCTACAAAAACTCATGCTTTTTTTGGTTAAAATTCCTTCTTTTTTTTTTCGTTCATATTTTATCATTCTTTTAAAACAGTATAATAAAAATAATGTAACTTTAAATCTAAGCAAAATTTAAATTAAATTTTACATGTTTCTTAAATGTGCTTCCTTTTCAATTAAGTTAGTTTAAAATCTTCATTTTTCCCCTTTAAAAAAAATACTGTATTGTTATAGCAGTTTTCCCCAAGCCCGGACTTGAATTAAATACTACATGACTTGAATTAAGCACATTTTTTTTTTTCAGATAGCTGGACGACCCAAAAGCCATTTCTTTGCTTTTTATTCAGCTTAAAAGAAAGTCCTGACTGACAGCCACATAAACTGAAATACAAGACTTGATTCTTTCACCATCTGGACTTTTTTTTTTACTGTTGAATGAAAGGATGGCATCTACTTGTGGCCTGGTTGTTCGTCAGTTCTCCACATCTACCCGCCTGCTGAAGAAACCAAATATTTCTAAACCAAGAGTTCCATGGACGGAGCGTAGAATCTTGAATGCTGTAACCATTCCTTTATTTCCTCCAGATCCACGACCTTTGCCTCAAAAGTGTTTTGATGAATTAAAATCTAAAGAGGAATCTAAAAATTCAGAGGTAATAAAAATATAGACTTTAAAAATAATAAATTTTTTTTTCTGCAGGTTTTCTCTCCTTTTGCTGAGTTACTATCTCTGTATAGTGTTGATAACTATTTTTCTTTATTTTGTTTTTCCTTTTACAAATCATAGCTTTTATGTTTACATGAAGACAATGCAATCCTAAATCTGATCATGCTGCAAAATAAAATGGTTTTACCACTTATGCCGGGTCAGTTATTTGGGAGAACCTATGAAGTGGCCTACGGGTTGGCTTAGATCATTTCTCAAATGTTATTAAGAATATAAGCCATCCATCATACTGTCAACTTTTCTCGGGGGAAAACTTCATAAACAGTTAAATAGCATTATAGTTATAGCATTATGTTGAGATTTTATTTAATTTGGAAACATTTACTAAAAATTTGTGGTGACTTTTTTTTGTTTTCTTCCCAGCTTTCTGCTGCATATCAGGCATTCCGATTACGGCAGACTGTGAAAATGTTCAATGAAAATCAAATGGTTGCGATCTGTCATATTTTACCCATGGCGAAAAGAGACGCATTCAATGTCAGAACAAAGATTGTCACCGCTGGGATGGGTTTCATGTTTTCAAATAACAAATGGTCAAAGTAAGTGGTGGCTTACAATAAACTGAGATGGTGACATGATAAAAATGTGTTAAATTAACAAAAAAATGCTCACATTTTAAAGATGCCATACTGTTCATTTGAGCTGTTGCTCTGTTAGTTGCTACTGAATCCTCTTTTTCTTTTCTTTTGTTCAGCATTAATATTATTCTTAATTGACACTTGTTTTAACCCTCATTTTTTTTTTTTCAATATTAACATTATTTCAATTGACACTTGTTTAGCCATAATTTTTCCAAGCGATCCGTTGTAGTTAGCCTTTTTTTTTTCTTTTCTTTTACAGGGCAGCAGTTGAAAATACACGATTGCGCAATTTGGAGCCATATTTTACTTCTGACAACGTATACATTGTTAGTCAGGATAACAAAGTTAAAGAAATGGTTGCCATTTTACGAAAGACACCGGAGCTACAACTCCTAGGTACTTACTGTTACAGGACTGTTATAGCACTCTGCCAAAATCACATTTAATGTTCCATTCAACTTGATAAATTATCATATCGTTATAATTTGGCAAAGCTTTGAATTACATAACTGCATCTCAATCCCCTACCAAAGATGTAATTCTCTTATGCACACCCATCTCCTTTTCAACCTGCTGTTGCAACAGAAGTGTACCTTTCACCCTCAGTTTTCATTCCAAGCATTTTTAGGAAACATCACAGTTGATTAAAAATATTTAAAATGCAATATGTGCCAAAATTTTCAGTACAGAAAATACGGCATCTAACCCCACCCCCCACCCCCCAATGACACCTGTTAACATCATATTTCCGACGGAAGTTCTGCGCTTCAAGGAAAACATTTCATTGTTTAGCATTATTTCCACTGGTACTTCACTACACACACAGCCATGCTTGGTCCACACTTTGAGATCAACAACCCACGCTCAAAATGAAAGTACCGGTATATCAATTCTTTATTATTGTGGCCATTGGCAGTTGAAAAAATTGTCATGACACTACCTCTTGTTCTCATCTTCACTGACTGACTAGCTTGCACCTTCTCACTACAATGATCTCTCAGCATACTGACCACAACAGAACTCCATGAACAAACCCCATGAACTGACCATAAACACTCAAAAACCCCCTCCCCCTTTCATAAACAAACTGTCTCATGCTCCCAAATCAGTTCATTGCATAATTGTTTGAACGAATGATAACCACACACATATTCTCCAGCATTTGCCCTTGAAAAGTCTAATTTGAAAGGGCCAGACATGTTAGCAAGGATGGGGTATTGTGGTGGAAAAATTTTTACCATGGTGTAGAAGGATCTAGATACCTTGACTTCCCATTCACTTGATCTTACACCAGCGCATGTCTATGTGGGAATTGTCAAAGGAACGTGTGTTTAGCTGTGAAGATCCATTAAGAACTGTGCCCACATTTTGCGAGGGATTTATCTCTTTCTTGCAGGAGTCTGCCAAACACCATTGCTTATGGCTCTGTTTGAGAATCTGAACGCTTACTTTAGCGAGTGATGCACACAGACACATAAGAATACCATGTTAAATCAGTGTGTGTATAAGCGGTTGTTTTATTTTTGCCAAATCAACACACTAAACATTTCCTCTCAGGAAATATAAACTAAGAGATTATACAAAATTATATTGCTCAGCTTTTCTTTCAGTAAATTTATTTTTTTTGTGCATGTTGTATTTATCATTTTGTCCCGTTTAAAAAAAACTAGATTGTCTCCCCCTGATATCTGACATCTTCAACAGTGACAGCTTAGTCATAATAATATCATTGCTGTTCAATATCTGACATGTTCCCCAGTGACAGCTTAGTCATACCATAGCTCTTCAATATCTGACATGTTCCCCAGTGACAACTTAGTCATATCATGGCTCTTCAATATCTGACATGTTCCCCAGTGAAAGCTTAGTCAAATCATGGATCTTCAATATCTGACATGTTCCCCAGTGACAACTTTGTCATATCATGGCTCTTTGAAAATTTATTCTTTTTTTTCTGTTTCAGGGGGTCTTGTTGAAAATCAAATATTATCTCGGGACATGATGATGAACATCGCCAAATTGCCACCTCTAGATGTTTTACGAGGTGAGCTCGTGTCCATCTTGTCTGCATCTGCTGCCAAAACATCTCGGCTGCTTGGCAAGCACCAACAGGATCTGGCCATCAACCTGGACCAGTTGGTTAAACAAGGATCAGCCGATGCTGAAGCTAAGGAGGGCAATGAGGAATAGTGTTGTTTGATTTAATTTTTAGGTTCACTGACTAGTTTTCTGGTCCAGTTTGTTTTATTATGAAACATGCCCATGTCATTTTGCCAAATGCGATGCCAGCATTCATGTATGTGAGCAAATATTTCACAAATAAAAGGTCATTATTTTAACTTAAAGTTTCTTCAAAGTTATTCAATTTATTCTGTCTCCTTTGTTTTCCTCAGAGACCATCCTCATATAACTATAACATACACATTTTGGGAGTTCAATCAAATTAGGAAATTTTGTTTACTTGGTTGGGATTCATGTTGATAGTTAAATTAATGATAGAGATGGTTGTATTAATATATTGTTTTGATTTATATTCATATGTGGAGGGGGGTCAAATTGAATGGTTGGTTAAACTTTGAGGGGAGAGGTCATATAAAAGATATATGTAGAGGGTGTCATATTAAATAATTTGTTTAACTTAAATGTGGAGGGGGTCATGTTGAAGTGTGCAAGATTACTGAGATGAAGGAAGTGTGCAAGATTACTGAGATGAAGGAAGTGTGCAAGATTACTGAGATGAAGGAAGTGTTCAAGATTACTGAGATAAGGGAAGTGTGCAAGATTACTTAGATGAAGGGAGTGTGCAAGATTACTGAGATGAAGGAAGTGTGTGGGATTACTGAGATGAGGGAAGTGTGCAAGATTACTGAGATGAGGGAAGTTTGGAAGATTACTGAGATGAAGGAAATGTGCAGGATTACTGAGATGAAGGAAGTGTGCAAGATTACTGAGATGAGGGAAGTGTGGAAGATTACTGAGATGAAGGAAGTGTGCAACATTACTGAGATGAGGGAAGTGTGGAAGATTACTGAGATGAAGGAAATGTGCAGGATTACTGAGATGAAGGAAGTGTGCAAGATTACTGAGATGAGGGAAGTGTGGAAGATTACTTAGATGAAGGAAGTGTGCAGGATTACTGAGATGAAGGAAGTGTGCAGGATTACTGAGATGAGGGAAGTGTGCAAGATTACTGAGATGAGGGAAGTTTGGAAGATTACTGAGATGAAGGAAATGTGCAGGATTACTGAGATGAAGGAAGTGTGCAAGATTACTGAGATGAGGGAAGTGTGGAAGATTACTGAGATGAAGGAAGTGTGCAACATTACTGAGATGAGGGAAGTGTGGAAGATTACTGAGATGAAGGAAATGTGCAGGATTACTGAGATGAAGGAAGTGTGCAAGATTACTGAGATGAGGGAAGTGTGGAAGATTACTTAGATGAAGGAAGTGTGCAGGATTACTGAGATGAAGGAAGTGTGCAGGATTACTGAGATGAAGGAAGTGTGCAAGATTACTGACCTGATCTTTTATCAGGGACTCAAGCATACTCCATGTCAACAGGGTTATTTTTGAAGTTATGGCTCGGTATGGGGACCTGTTTTACCTACTGTTTGGGGACCTACTTTACTACTCTTTGGGGACCTGCTATACTTCTGTTTGGGGACCTGCTATACTTCTGTTTGGGGGGCCTGCTTTACTTCTGTTTGGGGGGCCTGCTTTACTTCTGTTTGTGAAGTATTGGGATTCATCTTTATTACAGCTACATACTTTAAAAGATTGTTCTGAATTTCTTGATCTCAAAAGGATTTCAAAACAGTTAGTTCTGGTTATGGTAATTAATGAGTTATAACACTTGTATTTTTGGTTAATTAAACATTACATTATAACAATCTTTACTTTAAGCTTCATGGAAGGAATTATTTGATACAAAAAATTGTGGATACATGAGAAATGTGTGGATACATTAGATACGTGAATACATGAGATGTGTGGATACATGAAATGTCTGGATACTTAAGATGTATCATGCCCTAGATGTTTCGATACATGATATATGTGTAAACACTGTTGCATCTGAAACAAAACTACACCTATGGTAGTTCCATCATGTGGATACGTGAGATGCACGGATACCTGAGATGTATGGATGCATGACATTGAGGAGATATATACCAGCCATCTATATTTTTTTTTTTTTTTTGACAGTGGTGCAGGTTTACAGAATAAGTTTTTCCCCTGAAAGCCATACAAACATGTATTTAGAGATATTTGATGCTTTTAGGCACCAAACTAGATCTGACCTCATCCAGCTGTATGCTAAATAGTCTCCCATGAACATCTCATGTCACAAATGTTGATATGATGTTCTTTTCTCCCATGTGCATTTCATATCACAAATGTTGATATGATATTCTTTTCTCCCATGTACATCTCATGTCACAAATGTTGATATGATGTTATTTTCTCCCATGTACATCTCATGTCACAAATGTTGATATGATGTTATTTTCTCCCATGTACATGTCATGTCACAAATGTTGATATGATGTTATTTTCTCCCATTTACATCTCATGTCACAAATGTTGGTATGATGTTATTTTCTCCCATGTACATCTCATGTCACAAATGTTGGTATGATGTTCTTTTCTCCCATGTCCATCCCATGTCACAAATGTTGATATATTCTTTTCTCCCATGAACAGCTCATGTCACAAATGTTGATTTGATTTTCTTTTCTCCCAAGGACATCTCATGTCTCATCAGGTGGTATGACGTTAGGTTGCGTTATCATGGTCATTGCAAGCTAAACTTGCGCACTGCGCAAATCCTGAATTTATGCGCCCTACCCCACTCCAAAAAGTATGTATTAACACACTTGAAAAGGTACGATTTTTGTTCACTCTCTGTGTATGCGCCCCCCCCCATTCCCCCCCCCCCCCCCCCCTCCTACCCGTCTTATCTCAAGCCAACATTTGATCTGATGCATCAGTTCGCTTCTGTTTGAGAAGAAGACTTATTGATTAAATCATGCAATGATGAGGGGGGGGGGGGGTGTGCTGCACAAACTAATGTCAACAGTATCGTTAAGACAGTTATTACTTCAGAAATCAATAAAGCTCTCTCCATGAATACCCCCCTCCCCCCAAAAAAAAACAACAACACGCACACACTTTTCAGCGTCTGATTTTAATTGGGGAGGGGGGGGGACAAGTGGGAGGTGGGGCGGTTAATACGTATAGCTAACGTTTGATTTAATAAAAGTATTTAGGATTTAATGTTCGGTTAACTTAGTTGTTACTCTGGTCAGATAACTTATTGGCTTTGTTGGTTGATCTAATGGCTAAATTTTGTTTTAAATTGTTGGTTAACATTTTGGTGAACTCTTTTCTTTTTTTTTGGGTTAACTTTTGTTTTGTTTTTCTTTATTTACTTATGGTTAACGTGGGGGGGTGGGGGGGGGGGCTAATTTGACTCTTACTGTCGCAGTCATAATAATAATGATAAAATGTATTGGAAAATCACGCTTCATCTCCAAAGGCTCGAAGCGTGGTACATAGTCTAGTATATTAAAAGAGAAATGAAACAATCTAAAATATACCACATTGAAATACAAAATGTAAGATTGCAAAAAAACTATATACGAGCATACCCATTCTAAGTCTTTCATACGTAACAACCTTAAACAACACAGGCCAATACACGTCTACAAGATAATAGCTAGATAGACAACTTCATCCCAGCAGGTGTTTGCGAAATAGATATGTCTTCAGATCAGTTTTGAAAGACTCCAGTGACTGGCTGTTTCTGAGAGCGCCAGGGAGAGTGTTCCAAATTGTTGGGCCAGCAAATGCGAAAGTACGCCCCTCGTAAGTCTCAAGGCGAACACGTGGTAGCGAGAGTTTGCCACTATCAGATGAGCGGAGTTGTCTAGTGGGTACATAAGGCGTCAGCAATTCTTTGAGATAGGACGGTGCCAGGTGATGCAAGCAGCCGTAGCACAGAGTTGCAATTTTGTACTCTGTCCGAGCGCAGACAGTATGTATAGGTCAAACGGTCACAGTAATGTGTATATATAGGACCAACTGTCACAGTAGTGTGTATATATATATATATATATATATATATATATATATATATATATATATAAATGTCAAACTGTCACAGCTATGTGTATATAGAGGTCAAACTGTCACAGAAATGTGTCTATATAGATCAAACCGTCACAGCCATGTATATATATATATATGTATATATGTTATATATATATATAAATATATATATGTAGGTCAAATGGTCACAGTTATGTGTAATTATAGGTCAAGCAGTCATAATCCAGTTTGTTGTTTTTGTTTGGTTATAAAGGG